GATCCCCATTCATACCATGGCTCCACGGTAATAGGCAGTAGTAATCGTTTTGAATCGCTCCTGGCCAGCCGTGTCCCTGAGGAGGCAGAACAGTTCACGGGGTGGGTGGAGGGAAGGACTCTCCCGAGAGAGCATCCTCTCTATCCCTCCCCAGCCCCCCACTAAGAGTTTAGCTTTTGCAACAGGGTGGGGCTGAAAGAAACAGAATCTGCACAGGGAAAGGGGGTAAGGGATGGAAGACAGTTGGGTGGATGTGTGAGATGGCAGGGGCCTAAGAAACAAGATTTCTCTGGTTAATCACCAAATGCCTACTCTGTTCGAAGCACTGCGTATGTATCATTTTACACAAATGGGTCATTTTATCTAATCTTCACTCTATCCTTGTGACACACATTTTATTGTCCCTATTTTATACATGAGGAAACAGATTGGGAGAGGCTAAACAACAAATGAAGGTCATTCCGTGACAGAGCCAGCCGCAGACCACCTGAACACCTGAACAGCTTCAGGGGCTCCGGCTTTCTTATGACAGGTCAAACCTTGGGCGTGGCTTCCTGGGCTCTTCATAATTTAGAGAGAGCACAAGACTTAAGAGTCAAGTCTTAATTCTGTTACTTGCTAATTAACTGCTCAGAGCCTGTTTCCACATTATAGCTCAACAGACATGTGTTGTCAAGTTCAGAAAATGCACTGGAGCTGGGAGAGGAAAAAGAGAGTTAAAAAAAAAAAAGAAAAAGCTGAAAATAGTTGAGCCAGCAGGAAGAGAGATGGAAGGACATCTGAGGGAGGAGACAGAAGTGGATTAGGAGCGCTGGAAGGAACACTGGGGAAAGGAAGAGAAATGAAGCAAAGGAAGGACAAGGGTTTAGGAGGTGAATGAGGAGGTCTGGTTAGGAGTCCTCGGGGATTCACTCACCACACCTGCAGTTTGATTTTCTTCCCATCTATATCCACAGTGCGAATCTTGAAGTCAATTCCTAGGGTGGAGAGTGTACACTGAAGTTATCACACGTACGTGTGGGCATGTAAAAGTGCATGGTGGGAGGGCCAGGCACGGAGCAGTGGCAGGGCCAGAACTTCTGCAGGGGAGACTCTTGGGAAGCGATCTTGTTGGGAAGCCAAGTGTAAAACCCAGAGGATTTTCTAAAAACTGTATTTCTATAGCAAGCATATTATCTATACTTAGATCTTATAGATTTGGAGGTGAGAAGCTGATGAACATTCTGCAGGGAGCCGTAAAGCCCTTACGGCACCACTTGGATCCACTCAGCCAGGCCAGCCGACGACTTCCAATTCAGTCTCTCCCAAAATACTACTTTCAGATTCCTTTTCCCTTCAGTTTTCACAGAACTCTACTCTGTACTCTATCCACCCTCCTGCATCTGGGGTAAGAAGCGAGGAAAAAAGTAGCTGGTGCCGGTGTGTGTGAACTAACTAGCAGGCCAGGCTCGGAATCAAGAATGTCTGAGGCTAAACAAGATTCCTCCTGAGCCTGGACTGGTAAAGAGGGGTATTTTTCTTCCCCTTTCTAACCAGAATTGTCTTGAGACTCTCCTTGTCTTATTTCCCAGGCCAGAGGAGATTAAGAAAGATGAGAGGGGAGGAGGGGGAGCCAGTGTTCTTAGTGGAAACTCGGGCACCTCCCCCAGGCCTGTTGGGTGCCCCAGGAGGAGGCTGAGTCACCAGGCTGACTCAGAGACCCCGAAAGTCCCCTCACTCCCACCTTCCTAACCAGGCCGACTACATAGTCATGATCCCAGTCCTTGGGCCACCCTCCAGCACACCCAGCCACTCTGTTCCACCTTCCACCCTACCCAACCCCCTTTTAAGCTGAGGGGCAGGGAGACTGGGAAGGAGATGGTAAGGTGGGGATGCCGTGGGGGATCCTGACACTCAGTGGGCCAGAGGCGAGCTTAATCTAATCGGGAGACAGATGTTCAGGGAGAGTAGCTACAGAAATGTGGAGAGTGGATGAAGAGTTCTAAGGTGGGTGGGGAGAGTTGCTGAGAGGGAAATAGAGAAGGGTTCGTGTGAATCTGGGGAGCAGGGAGAGAATGATATCAAGAAAATGAGGGCTGGCACAACTGAGGAGTCACCGGGGGCCTCTGAGACGTTAGGGGTCTGGGTACCATCCAGACACAGGTATGCAGGATGGGTCTGAAACAGGGGTTAAGACTAGATTTAGAAGTCTCCCTGCAAGGCGACTGGAAAGTGGAGCCACTAGTGATCCCGGAGCGTGCGGATGAGCGGGCACGGGGGAGTCGGGGGTCTGGGGTATGCCAGTGGGCTCACCAATGGTGGAGATGTAAGTGTTGTTGAAGTTGTCCTCTGCAAAGCGAATGATCAGACAAGTCTTGCCCACCCCTGAGTCCCCGATCAACAGCAACTTGAAGAGGTGGTCGTAGGCTTTGGCCATGGCGGACACTGGGGGAGCCGGGGGAGGGGTGGGGAAGCGCCGGGCACTGGCAGGCGGGATTGCAGGGTTGGCAGACACAGCGGTCCCGAGCCCAGGCCAGGAAGTTTTCCTCCCTCTCCGCCCAGGCTCCGGGAAGGCGGAGAGGCGGCCCTCCTCCGGGCCCCACCCCCTACCCGCCCACCCCCTTCAGCCGGCCGGGGAGGCCAGCGCAGCCTCCGGTGCCCTGGGCTTTCCCCTCCCATCCTGGGCTGGCCTGTGTCTCTCGCCGTTTCCCACCGTTTGGCTCACTATCGTCCCCCTGGTCTCACTCTTCCAGTCTGAGGCCAAAGAGACTGGGGCGAAGGGAAGTAGAGGAGGGTGAAGGGAAGACGCCTGGAGGAAGAGAGAAACATTTAGGGGAATAAGGGTGGCGGCGGGGATGGCACTGGGAATTGGCAAAAACTGGGGGCTGATTTTTGGAAGATACTCAAGGAATATAGAAGCCTTCTGGGGCAATTCTAGAATTCTGGTGTTAGTGTTCCAAGCTCTTAGTTCTAGAATCCCAACTTTGAAAAAAGCGCGATGCCCTGGAGTAGATTATTTGTTGAGTCAGTCTGCCCCCTAGTGGAAAAGAGTGAAAATTAAAGTTTTACATACACGCGCGCGCCAGAAAATGGGTATTAAAAAACAAGTTTGTCTTTGCCTTTGGAAAACAGTTATTCAAAATATCTGGCTTTCTAACAGTGGGTCAATAGAACTGACCTTGCACAGAGTACTGGTTGTGAGAAGGAATCCTTTGTCACTTCCCTTATCCTTGTCACCCTCTGGGCTCATGTTTGTCCTCTCTCAAACACAACTAGTCAACCCCCTTTTGTCCATTCTTTTACCTCCCACTATGTCTTCAAGCTGTATCTCAAATCTTGAGTCTTCTTATTTCTCCTCACTGGCCAACCTCTCTCTCACCAGTCCTTTACTCTCCAATTGTTATGGATTATTCTGATAAAAATCCATCAGTTTTTTCTCTTTGCATCTTATTTTGTCTGGATCTGGACTTTTCATCCCCAAAGATGTTCTCTATGAACTACTTCCTGTAATATAATACAGCCCAACAAGCATTATATAGTATATGCTATGTATAATCGTGCATTAATGGTTTGCCCCATGAATATAAGCAAGTACATTGTATTATTATATGTCTAATCGTGCATTAATGATCTAGCACATGCATAGAAGCAGGTACATTATATTATTATAGTAATATGATCACCTCTGTAAACTGTACTCACGCTGCTATACACCTGCTTTCACCGGGACCTCAGCTTGGACCTTAGTTCTGAGCTTTGGCCACTGACTATGACAGGCTCATTCTGGCCTTGGGTTTTGTTGACAAGCTCTTACCTCAACCTAAAGACAGACTCTTTGTCCTTCAGAGTTCAGCCTAAATGTCACTTCCTCAGAGGTTTTTTGGCTGCTCAGCAGTGTACTGGAACCAGTTCTTACTGGCTCATGAGAACAGATTGTGCATCTCTTACCAACTCCATGTTTAGTGATGTGAGGTTGATAGTCTGAAATCGGCCATGGTGGGAGTATCCACACAACTGAAATTAGCAAAGACAACAAATCAGGGATTTCTTACAGGGAGCTAGTTGTTAAATTTTTACCTGCATGTGGCTGACTGGAACACACAATGCCTTGGCCTATTCCTTTCCTTTGGAATTAACCAGATCCCCAGATGCTATTTGGGGTCCTCTTCTGTTCTTTATGACAAGTGAACATTCTAAATCTTTGACTATTATTGTAGAAGATGGATTCTTTGGTCTTTATTTTTCCTTTCTTCTTATTCCCTGTCAAGGGTGTCAGTGCTGCTGAGATAAGAAATCTTGGAAAGTCAGTGCTGTAAAAATGTGAGGAAAAGAAGTGGGAATGTAAATTGGCACAATCTCTTTTTTCTGGAAGGCATTTTAGTTGTACTTTGAACTTCTCTGGGCATCAGTTCCTAATTTGTAAAATGTGGATAATAATAGTATCAACCTGATAAAGTTGTGAAGATTAATTAACATAGGTAAAGAAGTCAGAACAACGCACGTAGTAAGCACTCTATAAATAATTGATGTAATTATTACTGAGGGGAAGGGATTGTAAGATAATACAATTTAATCATAGCTAACCCTAGGAGTAGATTGTAGGTGGGGGAAAATACAAGAATGACTTTCTAAAAATGATGTTTACATTTCTGAATTGTTAAGTGGGCAAACTAAATCAACTGAAATACAGGCAAGAAATTTAGGAAGTCCTGACATGGCTGGCTCTCGCTGTTTTTCTCTGCAAATCTTATTTATTAGGCTCCACATGTCAAAGTGTACCATAAAGTTTAAAATGTGTCCATTTATACCTTGCTAGAGATCAAACGCGGATCTTAAGATAGCAAGCTCACACTCTACATGGTGACATATCGGTGTCACGACGATCAGTTAGAGACCTTCCGAAAATGGCAGCCCCCCCCACCCTCGCCCCAGCGCAGGCACACCCGAAGAGAGGACCTTCCCAGCATGGCGGCAGGAGGCCCATACGTCACTTCCTGCGGGACGACTGGTATAAGGAGCAGGATTTCCGCTTTCGCTCCTTTCCGGCGGTGACGACCTGCCCACAACATCATGCCTGTGAGTTCCTTGGGTCGGGTTTCGGCGGTGGTCTCGCTCCTCTGTGCACGCGCCTCCCCCGCGCCGGTTTCGATCATAAAGGGCCCTCATTTGCCCATCGCACTTTCTAGGACATTAACTACGGGGACCGCAGAGGCCCGCGGAGCTCCCTGCATAGGCGGGAGCGGAGAGGAGATAAGATGGCGGCCCAGCTGCGCAGACCCCGGGCGGCGAGGGGCGAGCTCTCCCCGGTGTCTGGCAGTGGGGGCTGTTTCGATCGCCCCATATTCGCCGTTGGTTTCTAAGTCTTTGCATTTCTGCCTCTTAGCTTGCAAAGGATCTCCTTCATCCCTCTCCAGAAGAGGAGAAGAGGAAACACAAGAAGAAGCGCCTGGTGCAGAGCCCCAATTCCTATTTCATGGATGTGAAATGCCCAGGTGAGGGAATAGCCTGTGGTAGTGGGGAGAGCACTGGACCCCAAGAATAAAAGCTGTAGTGCGAGCTGTGCCATAGCCTTTCAAGTTTCTTAAAATTCGAATGTATGAAATGGTTAAAATTTTGCATTTTAGGAGGCGTGGTCCAGAGTGATGTCTCATAACTCCATCATCACACTCTTAACAGTTCTTTGTGTTAGGAAACACTTTGATGGTGTTGGGATTCGGCTTGGGTCATTTATGTATTTGTATCTGGGGGCAAGGAGGGTGGATATGTTGACTCGTTTTCTACAAGGCTTCTTCCCCATTTGAAGGAGTCTTATTTTTTTTTTTAATCTTTGGACCTCTTTCAGGCTCTAGGGGGGTAGTCACTAATGAATAAAAAACCCATAGGCTGGGGGCAGGTTAAATTGCTTTTGAGTAGGCTTTAATGTCTTTTGAGAGCAAGGTAATCAAGTTTAGAGTAGGATAGTACATGTCAAGAGTTTATGTACCGTGCATGTCTCAATAGATAATACATAGTACTTGTTTATGTGAGGGAAAGGCCTGGGAAAAACGTGACTTGTTTCTTGATGTGTCCCCAGGGTGCTATAAAATCACCACCGTCTTTAGCCATGCACAAACGGTAGTCCTGTGTGTGGGCTGCTCCACTGTCCTCTGCCAGCCTACAGGGGGGAAAGCAAGGCTTACAGAAGGTAAATGGTTTAACGGATTTGTGATTTGGGGGTTTGCATCTTAAATCGAGTGGGAGATCATGCATAATGTTAATTATCTGATGGTCTTACAAAAAGGGTTGGATTTGGTCGTTTTATACCCCGAGAAAAGTATTACCAGAAACCATTGTATTTCTTAGTCTCAAAGCACTACTGTCTAAAGCTGGGATGAATGATTGGGTGATAAAAGAGTCTTCCTAGGAGCTGAAGCTGATAATGTGCTCGAGTGAAGAGGTAGTAGCTAAAAAACTTGAGAAAAATAAAGATGGAGCTCTCCTGTGGGTGGCTTATAGGTATCTGGTTTTATGGGATGGGTCAGGATAAGTAGGCTGCTGTTGGTTGACGTCTGAACGTTTTTTTTTTTTTTTGCAGGATGCTCTTTCAGACGGAAGCAGCACTAAAAGCACCCTGCATCAAGATGAGTGGGAAACCATCCCAATAAACACATTTTGGATACATCCTGTTTATTGTCTTGTTTTACTGCTAGGAAGTTCTACCTCAAGTATTCAGGGGCAACCAGAAGAGTGGACTACTAGAGTCATTTGGGGCAAGTAAGTGGCCAAGTACTTGAAAAGTCTATTTGGGACATTTCTATCCACCTAGACTCAGTAAATCTTTAAGAGCTGGATAAAAAACCTGAGGTGCTGTGTAAATGGAATATTTATTTTCACTTTGTTTTCTTAGAATTAAGAACAGACAGTTGATCTTTAGAACACAATACAGTACACCACTTTAATACAAACCAGCTTAGGATCCTTTATTTACAGTTCTCAGAAGCCTTTTTTAGAGGCTTAGGAGTGTACAGGTTGCCTTTAGGCTCCTGGTCTAGGGCTTGAAATCTCCAGTCCCCCGACAGTTAAGGGGACTTGTCCAAGCGGAGGTTAGTGCTTTAGACTCCATAGCCAGTGTTGTAGCCGACTCTGGACTGGGGGGCGTTGTGGACTCATGAAGGGAGGGGAAGAATGTGTGGAGGTGTAAGAACCTAGAAATAGAGAAGGGCCATAGGTTTAGGATAGATAAAAAAACAACTGAGCTTCTCAAAGATGAGGACAGCAACCTTTACCTGGCTGTGGTGTTCCTGGAGTTGGCACGTAAACAACTGGGACTGCCTGCATCTTGTTTAGGAAGGCATTATATGCTGGGGAAAGAAAGTAGTTATTACCCAAGAGGCAGATCTGTTCTCATTGGAGAAAGGCCTTAAGGGGCAAAGTATTAAGTACTGCTATTAAAAAAAACAATGCTCCAAATTAACGCCATAGGCAGTTACAGGTTTTTATTCTAATGATTTAAGAATTTTTTTTTTTCAACTTGGGCAGAAAGATGAGGGCAAATGCAGGTGTAGACAACGGGTGTGATATTCCTTGAGTCTTTAGCTATGAGTTTGAACAACTAGCCATTATCTCAGAATTTTAGTGGTTTCTGCTTCTGAATGGTGTGTTTGCTGCATTCCAGCTTAGTGCTTCTTGGTAGCACGTCGAGCAGGACGTTCTAAGCCTAGGTGACTAGGGCCAGGGAGGCTAAATGAGATGTGATAAACAGCTAATTTTCATCCTCTAGTTTGTGAAATAAAATGAAGGCAGTTTCCAAGTCCAAAGTCCACGGTGCTGAATATAAGGAAGGACTCCTTACCTAGAAAGATGAAAGCTGTTGATGCCAACACCGCAAAGAGGGTAAAGAGGAGGATCTGATGAGAGCCCACGAACTTCTGGAGGACACCTGAATCTTCACATTGATCTATGCATTGGCCAGAGTAAAACAAGATAACACATCCAGGACAGATGCTTAACATTTAAAAACTTGTGTGGTCATAAGAGTAGCAGAAGCACCCAAAAGTCCAGCCCTCAAGGAAATTATTTTGCTTCCTACCAAAGTAAAAGGTAAACTGTACTTGGCTCCTCCACCTCTTTTTGGCTTGTTTCTATCACCAAAGAAATAAACTGCAATGCTTGAGTTTGTTTATTTGTCTCAGCTCTTACAAGAGGGCATCTGAATCCTGCCACCTTAAAATGTCTGTTACCTTCCCTGTGCACTTTAACTCCAGATTACTTGTTCCCTTTACCAAATGTGTAAGTCTGGTGATTGAATTCCTAGTCCTAATTCCTCTATTCTGAAACATTTCTCTGGATCACCAGTGACCTCTTAAATCCAGGGGCCCCTTGTCCTTTTTTACTCAATGACATTTCTAGGGAGCATTCTGATATGTATATAAGCTTGTCCTCAATAAAACTTAAGACTTGTGTCTTTGAAACATACTCCACATGTATCTGACTTCAGTTATTTCAAATTCTTCAGAAATGAACTCTTTCCCCTCCCCACCCCCAAACTGCCTGAACTACAGGGCTTTCCATAAAACGTCTCCGGGCCCTCATACACCTCTAGTATAGTCCCTCTATCTTTGGACTCCTACCTGATCTTACCTCTTAACCACACTCAGCAACTTAAACTGCTTCACTGAATCTGAGATTGCTTGAAACGCATGCACTAAAGACAAGAATGTCTGTACTGATCCTTGATCATGTCCCACTGTTGGAGGCTTGGCTTTATAATGTCTGTAGGATGAGTCTACATAAAACTCAATAGGCAAGTTAACAATTTTTCCTTTTGTTCAGGCTACCCTGAACTAACCCTATCTCCCCAATCAGGCCCAGTCTTCTTCCTGCAGTAGGTACATGCTTGTGTGAATGAGCTAAAGGTTGGGTTGGATAATTATCCCACCCACCATGGCTGTACTGTCCCCACTGGTCCCTCTTATCCAAGAAGTGCAGGAGTTCTTCACCATTTTTGTGGCATAAGTAACTAGCAGTCTGGTGAAGCCTATGGGTTCGATCCCAGAATGTTTGTAAATGCAAAAAATACATAGGAATAAAGGAAGCTATCAGTTAACCAAAATAGAGAAACCTTATTTGTGACATGTTACACAATTAACAAAATGTTTAAAAGGCCTAATTTGTGATACAGTAATATGTGTGCTTAGTAACAATAAAAATCTAGTCTTAGGTCTGATAATTACTAATTTTTAAGAGAAATCAAGTTCTGATAATTGGAACATGAAAATACCTGGATTCCATTCACATGTTTTCATTACATGACATGACAAAATCACACTGGTTTATTGCCTATACTCACAGTCAGTGGAAATGCTAGCTTTCAGATTAATTGGAAATACAAAATTATTTTTCCCATTCAAACTCATGGACACTTGCAGAGATTTGTGAACTCTAGTTTAAAAACTGCTCTAATGGAGCACAGGTTGGAGTTGAACACTTCTAGTGGTGGGACCTTGACCGCCTCAATTTCCTTAACTCTTAAGAAGGGAAAAACATCTAAGAGTTCAGAGAATTAAAAAGCATATAAATATGCCTAAGATATGGACTAGTACTTTCAAGAAAAAATCTTAAAACCATTAGAACGTAATACTAGGGTTCAGCCTAATTATTCCCAGTAATCAAGGAAAACTTTTCCTTGAGGGATGGGCAAGGGAAGTGACAAATACAAGAAGGGTGATTCTTTGGCTTTCCTAACACGTCTTTCCATGACTATACGTGTTCCCATCCCATCCAAACTTAGCATCATTTTAAACTAGGTAATGGCTGCAATCAGGGTTTTGGAAAGCTGAGTCTTCGTTCTAGGGTCCCATTGCCTGACGCAAAAAGATCTGCTAAATACTAATGAAGAAAATGAAACATTAAGGTTTAAAATAGGATACGTAGTACACTTATGAAGCTGACAAATTTACACTAAATGGACATAACTGATTTCTAAATACATAACATCTAGTGGTAACATCTAGCTACCTGAAGATTATGTTTTGGGTAGGCCTGGAAAGTAAGATCCATGCCCTAGCTAGTCTGGCTAATCTTGGTAAAGTGGCTGAATGTTTCCCATGAACATTAATTGTGAGTAATACATTGTCTTCTTTCCTCCTCTAGATTAAAAATAGAAGCCCCCAATGCTCACCTGCACCAGACTTCTTCATAGCTCTCACTAGTACGGCCTCCCTTTGACCGGTGAGCACACAGGAAATGTTGATGAAAACAGGTGATGCCTTGTGCTGCAGGGAGGTAAAGTTGACTACTCCTACCAGGTAGATAGCCAGGCCAGGCGTGAGGGAAGAGCGCCTCTGGCGAGAGACCACTAGAGCTGGGGAGCTGGGGAAGGCCTTGGAGAAAAGATAAAATGGCTTGTTTGAAAGAAGAAAAACCTGTTCTGTATCAATACTTCCCAATCTTAAGCATATATAGTAAGACACCTGGATTTCTAGTTCTTGCTGTCTGACAATAAGACATTTGCTTTTCTACACTTAGATGTGTGGAGGGATAAGGGAAGAAAATGATCTGTGAGAACAAAATAGGTTTCAAAAAATTTTTTAACTAGAATTCTAAAAATTGTTTGAAAGGTTGTTTTAAGATAGTACTGGTGCTCTCTTCTAGACTGATAAAGCTCATGACTTAGATTTGGGATTCTGGGAGTCCCCCTGGCATTCTGAAGGGGACAGATTTTTGAAGTTCCCTGTGATGAATTTTTTCAAGTCATTCAGTAACTGTTCCTTTACCCTCAGACTGGGAATAAAGAATCTTTCTGCAAAACTCTGATCTCAGTTCTGTTTTGGTTCCGTCCTTAACATACCTCTAGCTTCTCAAGAACTTTATCCACTCCCAGTATTCTTATCTCTCTAACATCTTGTTTGTGGCTAAGAATCAATTCTGACTGGTTGATGTAAAAGGCTGGGATGAAAGGAATGAGAATTCTTTGCATTCCATTCTTGCTACTTTCACTGACAAGTGTGGCCCACGCATAGACGGAGGTGTCAGCCAAGCTGAGGGCCTGGAGAAACTCCTTTGACTGGGGTCGAACTTTAATCAGGCAGACGTAAACCCCTAAAGAAAATAAAAAACAATGAACAGGAAGGTTCAGAGGCTGTATGAGCTGACTGAGGATAGGAGGGAGAAATGGGGACATACAAATACAGGAGAAAATATGAGCTCAGTTTTGAATACTCACTGTTAGCAACTTGGTCACTATGGGGGAGGATACCAAAGAAAACAGTCCCAGGGAACCCACAACTGACTTCATTGCTTAAGAACACATTACTAAGCATTTACCCTAAGCAAATTAAAACACTAATTTGAAAAGACAATATGTATCCCTATGATCATTGCAACATTATTTACAATAGCCAACATATAGAAGCAACCTGAGTGTACATCTATAGATGAATGAATGAGGCTGTGATACAAAAAATAGAATATTACTCAGCCATAAAAAAAGAAATCTTTCCACTTGTGACAACATGAATGGACCTAGAGGGTGTTACACTAAGTGAAATAAGTCAAGTACCATGTGATTTCATTCATTTGGAATCTAAAAAATGAACAAACCAACAAAACAAATAGATACATAAACCCGGACAGCAAACTGGTGGTTGCCATGGGTGAGAAGGTAAGGGTGAAATGGCTGAAGGGGATAAAGATGTACAAACTTCCAACTACAAAGAAGTCACAGGTATATAAAGTACAGCATAAAGAATATAGTCAGTAATATTGTAATAACTGTATGGTGACAGATGGTAACTACACTTAAAAGTGGTGAGCATTTTCCACATCGCTAATTATCAGAGAAATGCAAATTAAAACTACAATGAGGTATCACCTCACACCAGTAAGGATGGCTGCCATCCAAAAGACAAACAACAACAAATGTTGGCGAGGCTGTGGAGAAAGGGGAACCCTCCTACACTGCTGGTGGGAAT